CCCTCCCGGACCCCGCGCGCCTCGCCCCGCCGCTGACATGTGTGCCGCCCGCGTGGCGCCCCTGGCGCACATCTTCCGCGGGACTTTCGTCCACTCCACCCCGACCTGCCCCATGGAGGTGCTCCGGGATCACCTGCTGGGCGTGAGCGACGGCGGCAAAGTGAGGAGGCTGCGGGTTCGGGGCCGGGGGAGGGGAGGGAGTGGGGTGGGGGCTGGCACTCGCTCCTGGTCAGGACCCCAGGAGAAGAACAGCGCCAAGCGCCGCTACCCGGTCCTGGGGTTCGCTCCCCAGCGCGCGCCTTATTGGGATCCGGAGTTGAACTTGGGGAACGCGTGGCCGATGGGCTCAGGGAGTCATGAGTAACCCCAAAGCCAGGAAACCAGGGGGATGGGGCGGGGGAGACCCTGAAGTACCCACACCCCTTAGGCTTCAACAGCTAGGGCTGCTGTGGAAGGGTGGAAAGCGAGGGAACCCCCCTCCCCATGCTCCCCATCTCCAATACACCAGCATGCGGCTCTCTGTGCTTGGCACAAGGTAGATGCCCCATGAAATAGGCCGGATTTGTTGTGAAAGAACGGACTGAGGAGAGAGGTCATGTGTCAGGGTTATTTACCAAGTTGAGTACACAGAGTAAGCCCGGGACTGGTTTCTTCCTGCAGATCATTCCACAGACAAAATGCACTAATGACACAGGATGTAACTCCTTGTAACACTAGAAAGGATGGTCCTAGAGAAATTCTCTCCCTCTCTCCCTCTCCCTTTCTCCCTCTCCCCTCCTCTCTATTTCCTATCTGTCTCTCCTCTGTCTCTCTCTCTTACACACACACACACTCTTTCTCTCTCTGTCTCTGTCTGTCTCTCTCTCTCTCTCTCTCTCTCTCTCACACACACACACACACACAAACACACACACACAGCGACTTGCAACAAAACAAGCACTTCCATTTTAAGGTCCAAAATGTCTTCTATGAGTTTATCTTCTTCCATACTTTGGTTTTTCTTCCTCCCTCAGAATTTCTTCTACAAATAGCACAGGTAACCTGATGGCTAATCCTCACCGCCCTGTCCGCAGAGTTGGTGACTGTATTAGCAATTGTTGCTTGGCCACTTGGATAAGGGAAGCCACTCTGTTTATACAAGAAAAAAATAAATATGGGAATAGGATAATTTTTTGAAATGTTTTCCAACCATCGGTTTGGTCGAAGTACATAAGTGTGTGATTTGTCAGGTTCAAGACACTGTTCCTGATCAAAGAGGCCTCCGAATCAGTGATAGCTTTGAGTCGTGACTCAGACGTTCGGAAGGAGGGGTACGGGTGCAGGGTGCAGTAAACAAGCCTTGTTTTCTTACGATGCTTAAAAAAAATTCTCTGCATATTTGGAGATCCTGCTGTTGTGTTTCCAAGGTGATAAAACTCTTAAGCTCATATGAATGCAGGTAGAAACCCTTAGACAGTGAACCATTGTATGGAGATATGAGTCAAGTTTCAGGGACTTATGTCCCTGAATCCTCTATCAGAGATTGAAGTGTTAGTCTTAGCAAGAGCTGTTCAGGGCTTAACCCATCTTCCTTCTTCCCTTCCCTTCCCTTCTCTTGTCTGTCTGCCTCCCTCCCTCTCTCCTTCCTTCCTCCCTCCCCCTCTCCCTTCCTTCTTTCCCTCTTTCCTCCCTTCCTTCCTTCTTTTCTTCCTTCCTTCCTTGCTTCCTTCCCTCCCTCCTTCCTTCCTTCCTTCCTCTCTTCCTTTCTTCCTTCCTCTCTTCCTTCCTTCTTTCCTTCCTTCCTTCGTTTCCTCCCACACTCCCTCTCTCCCTCCCCTTCCTCTCTTCCTTTTCTCTCTCATTGATTGTCCCCATTCAATTCTGATCGGTAGGATAGTGTTCAAGATAGTGAGTTTGAGGACTGGCATTAACTGTGGAGAAGAGGGAGAAAAGAAGTTATCTAAAATTTTACCTCTACTGATAGTAGGACAGATGAAGAAGATAAGTGTCCTGAACATACAATTAATGGTTGAGTCAGGAACTCTATTCCTAACTAGGGAGCTGACTGAGACTATAAATTTAGAGAATGTGCTCTTCCTTCCCATGATAAAACTAACTAGGAATTGACTGCAAAGGTGAGCTAATGGAATGGCTTAGATCTACAGCTCAAACTCCCTGGTCAGTGGATTGATAGCGAGTGTTTAAAAGAGAGTGTGTGATAGATATTTCAAGGTTTGATATCCTTCATGTTGAAACAGAAAACTCCTTGCCTTTATAATTGCTTGGATAAGTTGCTTTATCTAGTATTGTCTATCTATTATTTAAAGCTTTTGAAGGCTCAGAGAAGAAAATAATATCCCTTTGAAATAAATAAATGAATATGCGGGATCATCATGATCTTTAAATTTTGAATGAGTTCATTCCTGGGGTGAGTATTGGGAACAGGAGAGGGTAGATATTAAAATGCTGATTCCTGAGTTCCTTTCTCTGAGATTCTGAATCCACAAGCCTAGTGTGGCTCCAGAACATGAATTGTAACAAATATCCCAGGTGTTCCAGCCAGAGAGTGTGTGGATTACATTTGGAGTCACTCTGATCTGTGAGTTGTGTGATGAGACCAGCTGGGTAAGATGCACCCAGACCACTTTTTGTTTTTGAACCCAGGTCTCGGGCATCATCTCCGAGAGAGGGGGTGCAGGTTTCTCTATACTCCTTCCTTCTAGACTGCAGCCCTCACTTCAAAGCACAGAAAAGAGTGATGAGCAACTATGCTTGATTCATCAAATAAAGCTCATTCTAAATTAGATGAGCTTGAAAAAATTCTTCTCCAATCCTGAGATTGGGCCTCTTCAATTCAGAGGAGTTTTCCCAGTTAAGCAGCATGCAGCTTTTTAAAAAAAAGTCTCCAACATGGACAATTCATTTGCAAATATTTAATTAATCTTGCGACGCAGCATACGGAAATATTACTAATGTACCTGCTTCTTCCTACATGTACTAGGGTCAGAATGACTTTGAAGGCAGATCAAGATGTCTGGGAACAGTCTTACCCAGAGACAAGAAGGAGGAAGAGGGATGTTTTTAGAACTTGTGCCCCAGGGTGGGGGCAGAAGCAAATCCTATGGAGAATCAAAGACCTGGGTTGAAGTAGGAGTTTCCACCAGTTACTTACAGTTATTTACTTGGAGTCAGAGAACAAGACACCTAAATTCCCTGAACTTGTTGAGTAATGAGATTGAATCGGAGACTGAAGGAGCTAATATAAGAAACTGCCTGACAGTGGATGTTTAGTGTGCACCATGTTTTTTTTTCTGTCCCTTTTCTTCTATTGCTTTGACCAAATCCTTAAACCTTTGGCTTTCTATAGTGTTTTGCGTGCTTCCCTGTGGTGGTACTTCTGTAGGCCAAGTACAGAAAAGGTAGCCACAGCTTACAAGGAACGGGTGTGTGTGTGTGGGGGGGGAACCAGATGCTAGACCTCAGCTGTGTATGCTGTCCATCAACTCATCCCCTCAAAGACGCACCTGGGAAGAGAGAGCTCAGGAGCATTTCTCCAGAGCAGTTTATGAAGACAGTGCATCTTGATCAGTGTCACCCATTTCAACCTTCTGGCCTGCCCCTCCCAACCCCCCTCCCAACCCACCTCTTCCCTAACTTATCTTAATTTTAGGTTACATATTGAATATTTTTGCCATGTAACAAGGCAGTTTATGTGTACAATGCATCTTGATCGGTGCCATTGTTATTCCCCTTACAGATGACGGAGCTGAGATTTGAGAGATCATGCATCTAGAGAGGGTGGTGGTATAGCTGGCTTTCAAACTATGGGCCAAAGGCCATGGTCTCTCTACTGTAGTAGCTGCTTCCCTGAGTCCTTATCTTAAACGCTTACATGTTAGCCACATTGCTAAGGTTGTTTGCTGTAATAAAAGTGGGTTACTTCCTGAGTCTCTAACCAGATTCATCACTGGAGGTCAATCAACGAATAAAGCGTAAAACCTCCCCCGTAGGAAGGTCGATAATCTAGTAACACATTCATGGACTCTCCTATCACCTGTCAGGACATGAGCTAGTCTGGAGGTGAGGAAGGGCTTCCCTCAATTGAAGTGACATCAAAATAGTGATCAGAAGGGCGAATTACAGTCACATCTGTAAGGTAGCTGTGATTTGAGGTGGAGAAGGTTCTTCTAGGCAGAGGAAGTAGCCTGAGCTGCATTGACTTGCAGAACAAGGCTAACTAGCCCTGACAAGGGGAAGGGGCCCAACGTTCATCACCTCCAAGCCTGATGAGAGGCCATAGCTTGATTTCACCTGAGACTACTGCCGATCTTGCTTTGCAGATTGTCTGCTTAGCCTGAGCTCTTACAGCCTACTGGTTCTGAATTTCCTTTCTGCTTGGGAGGAGGAAGATCCCTGTTGCCAGGTTCAGAACTCTGGATACCCCACTCATCTTGGAGAGGAAAACTGGGCTAAGCCATCCTTCTGAGGCTGCTGAAATAGGAACAGAGCTCCCATCAAAAGCAGGTTTCATGCCCACATGCCACAGAATCATCATGCGGATTTCTGTTTGGTAGAAAGAAATCTCTTTGTACGTGATGTCACGATGTTACTCACTCTAAATAGCCATGCTGGTTTTTTTTTTAAAGTTAACACATGCTGGATTTGATCAATCTGTAACATGCGTGGCATATGGACACATCACCGTGCAAGTTGACCATTGGTGTCCTAGGCCCTTAACCAGATAGGTCTTCCCACGGCGAAGGGTGGCAGGTGATGACATTTTGACATGGCAGAAGTCTCCTCAGAAGCTTCTGGGATTAAAAATAAAGATACATGGAGCTGCTACCATCATATGTGAGAAGGATTTCTGACATAGCACCTTGGTCTCTGACATCTTTGTGCCATGTCACGATCTGTACAACTGCCTAGCTTTGGGTTCTCTGTGAGATACTTACTGTCTAAACCTCTGTTAGTTGGGCACTTTTTTTCCTTCTCACCCACTTCCTTTTTTTCCCTCCCTCCCTCTTTTCTTTCTTTTAAACTTTGAGACAGCTCTGTGGCCTAAACTGGCCTCAAACTCTCTTTTCTCCTTTCTCTACATCCTGCCCAGAGTACTGGAATTCCATGCATCAGCCATCAACGGTAAAATGCTTTATAAAGACTCACATTGCTATCAGGCAT